AAAAGAAATGGCCGTTTCAGACAGAATGAGACCAGAGAGGCAGATCAGTTGGTGTGGCCTGGATAAAAATCTCACAGCCTGAAGAAGTCTGAATTTTTAAACAACTTTCATTTGCTTCCTGAGCTGTCTGGTGTGGAGCTCCTCCTTGGACCGCTCATGGAAACGCAGAACTGGACTGTCTCAGGGGCTGAGAGCGGACCCCTGCTTCCTCACAGTCCTAAGGGGGGACCACAGTTCTGAGGGCTCCCTGGGAATGACCCTGAGCAGCGAGTTCTCTCTTGCCACTCAGGCTAGCTGGCTGGTCATCTTCCTTAGAGTGTAAAAGTTATCTTAGCCCAGGTAGGGACTTAGGCGCTTCGCCATATCTTGAGTAACCGTCTGTTGCCACCTGCTGGCAAGGAGCTGAGTATATCCTACTAGAAACAGGAGGGTTGGGTTAAGAAGCCTCGGGACTAAAAACACCAAAATGTAGACACAGGTCGAGTGTTTTCTCCAAGGAAGTCCATGATGATTCCATTTATTAAGCTATACAACCAAGTGGATTTTCAGTGACACATTCCACTCATGCATTCTTTAATTCATTAATTACAAACACTTTGGGCCCTGCAAGGCACTGGGCATAATTTCTAATCACATTTCATTTTACCTCTAAATGGCATTATATAATGTGATCTTCTCTCCATAAAATTAAACTCTTCATTCATTCATTCATTCATGTCTACATAAACAGTTATTAATTATTGAGTTCCCCAAATGCTGGGAATAGAATAGTGAGCAAAACACAGTCTCTGCACTCACTGGTTTGCAATCTAGTGGGGGAGACAGACGGTAATCAGACAATCACACAAATAAGTGTAACAGTACACAACTGTGATAGAACAGAAAAATCAAATTGTGGTAAAAGCAGGCCTAAAGGACTTTGTTGTTGTTAAGTAGTGTGGAGTCAGTTCCGACTCATAGTGACCCTGCACAGGGTTTCCAAGGCTGTAAATCTTTACGGGAGCAGAAAGCCTCATCTTTCTCCCATGGAATGGCTGGTAG